ATTGAAGAACCTACGAAACGACAGGATCTGCGCGCAATCTGCCGCCAATCTGCCGTCAGAGTCTGTCGACAGGTTCTGCACGCAATCTGTCGTCAAAGTCTGTTCGCAGATCCTGTCAACAGTCTGGCGGCAGAAGGGGGACGCAGATGTCTATGGATCTGTCGACAGATCCTGCTCAGATTCGACAGATCCTGTCGACAGTCTGACGTCAGTCTGCGCGCAGATTGCTTACTGGGTATATACCCAGTATACTGCGAAAGCACTTCGATGACTTTGTGACGTCTTGAATTTTGATGTCACTTCCTGCTGTGGCTACTACAGCCGGCGAGGTAAAGCAGTCATAGTACACACAAGATGGCTTCTTATATAGAGTTACCCGGGAAAAAAGGATTATATATAATTATATATAAATATATATGATTATATATGATTATTTATAAAATTTGGTATTTCATAAAATTATATATAAATCCATATAAAATTATGTATGCGCATATATAATTTCAGATATAATTATATATGGAAAAAAAACATCATATATGCATTTATTAGAACATTACAGGCGCGCGCTATTTAGCATCTTTATCACTATAATAATCTTTTAAATTACCTTATTCTTACCCAGCGTGAACGTAGAAGTCGATTCGACGTCTAACCGACGTCGGAGAAGTTATGTCTAGTTTAAATGCACGTCTAAAAAAATGGCAATTTAGACGTCTTCTATTTTGAGTAAATTCTAATGTTTTAGAATCCATTCATATTATATTGACTATTAAAAGAGAGTTTTCGATAAAATTTCGGAATTTTATTTTATCGATTATTTACAATCTCTCTAGACGTCTATTCGATATTAAATCGACGTCTAATATCACAGTGAGAAATGACTTATCGATCGACATCGAAAAGACGTCGAATCGACGTCTATTTGACGATTTCGACGTCGATTCGACGTCTTTTCGACGTCGATAAATAAGTCATTTCTCACTGAGATCGCGCGCGTTTTGCATAAAAAATATATTCTAAGTGGAAACGTCAGTTTTTTTTTAGATTTCCAATTCAATTATAGTATTACAAAGATAGAAATGTCAGATTACTCGAAAAACATTAAACTGAAAGGAATGATCAAAGTCATTTTGCAAATAACTACATAAACTTTAGAGATATTAAATAAAATAGACAGGCGAATCAACGCGTGTATTTGCTAGGTACGTTATAATGTACTGTGAACACTGTAAATATACATTTTATAAGCATAAATTTTAAGAACATCATTGGAGTCATTGGAACACCGCGTGCCGCTCGATCGTCAGGTTAAGCAACGCAGTCAGGATGGATGGGTGACCACTTCGAATTCGAAATTTTCGAGGCAGGATTCGCGAAAGTTTTAGCGTGTGTTTAACAATTTTCGGTTTCTAGCAGTTTATACGACATAAAGAAAATTAGGAATTAGTTATTTTTATGAAATAATCTAGTGAGAAATGATTTATTGATCGACATCGAAAAGACATCGAATCGACGTCGAAATGACGATCTATTAGATATCGATAAGACATCGAAATGACGGTCTATTAGACATCTAAATGTGGACCGTTTTTAGGTCGA